AGGAAGGGGGGGAAGCGAGGGAGGTAGGAGAGTGGGGAGAGGACTCTGTAGTAAAGGTGAGGGTGAGGGTGGGGGGGTTGTGGGCTGGTCAAACCTGTTGAAGAAGTTGTTGAGTTCGTTTGCCTTCTCCACAGTCCCCCCCCACTGTGCTTTTCTTGGTGTTGTGGCCTGTGATGGTTTTCACACCATTCCAGACCTCCCTCATATTGTTCCCCTAACCCTAACCCCTTCCCATTATCATCTGATCCATGCTACGTGGATTGTTTTGCCGCCTCCAACATAAAATGCAAACACAGTGTACTTTCAGGATATATGTTGGAGCATTTTCTACCCAGAGGAATTTCAATGTGTTGTTGAGCAATGGACAGTGAATGTGAAAAAACACAATGTAAGGCCTTCAAAAGAACCCAGGGAATATTTCTTGCCTTATTTGGGCATTGTTCTCCCTATATCAGAGCTGTGCATGGTCAGCAGGGAATGCCGGGAATTTAGCGACAATCTTGAGGATTCATGCCAGTCAGGGGGTTTACGTATGTGTGCTCTGTCTGTCAAAAGAAAACGCTATGTGCAGACTTCTCTGCGGGTCTTCATTCGATGCCAACCACATCACCGGAGGTTCACCGCACCGGCCTTTCTCGGCATCTGCTGCAGGAAATCACAGAGGCTCTGTGCAATGCGTTGTTATGTCTGCAGAATAGCTGCTTAATGGCATCTGTATGGGGCAGAGAGAGGCAGATATGTGAAATGTTAGGTCATGTCAGGTTTAAAGTAGAATATTAGTCTGTAGAGTGTAACTTTGTGTTTGACTTTGTTTTCGTAAGCATTTGGTAGTCATTCATTCACTCTTCCAGCTTCATGAAGAACTGTCTCACTATAGGCTGAATGCATGCAAACATATGGGAGTCCAAAGAAATGTGCTAATTGCCACTGGATATATATGAACAGTGAGCTGGCTTGCATTTACAGTGTTGTCTTCTTCAATGAGGTCTTTGTTTCCCTGTATCTCTCTACCATGGAAGTGAACCTGTCATTGTGAATATTTTTAACACCACGAGGGCTGATAGTGAGCCAGCATGCATGTTTATAATCTTCGCAGATAGAGGAGAGACACAGTATGTCTGCGTATGGCTTTCGGAGCCTCGAGTGAGTGATTGTTCCATTACGTGGGCGTAAGCAGCCTGATGCTTTTGGCCCGCTCCCCTTTTCCTCGCTCACACTTACTCTGGCAAAAGCTCAGCATACCTGCAGTATTTTTGGCTCCTTTAAAAGGAATTGCTTTTGAGTTATTGTGTATTTTCTTTCCCACATGACTAAAAGCTTTCCGTACATAGTCACTGAAAAGGAATTTAGATTGCGTAAGGCCGAGTGCTAAAGTGAATGAAACTCAGTGCAGGATTCAGTGTGAATTGATTAGTTCACTGTGACATAAAGTTTGAGATATCAGTGTTTTGAGTTTGTGGAGAGACATCTAGACTGAGATCTGTTGTCTTGTAATGTGACAGTTACGCCATCTATGATTCACAGTGTCACATGAACCTCTTGTGTTTACTTGACACAGAAAATGAGCGCAGACACATCCAGCAGCTGTGAAAGCTTTGAATAGTGTCAGCAGTAGGAAGAAATAAAAATAATTATTAACAAAATATGTTAATTTGCATTCTTTCTTTTTTGCAGCTGGCTGATTTTGGCCTCTCAAATAATTTCCACAAGGGCACACTGCTGCAAACCTACTGTGGAAGTCCGCTCTACGCTGCCCCAGAGATCGTGAAAGGGCTCCCATACCAGGGACCAGAGGTTGGTCAACATGCTGTTAATTCCCAGCATTATGGATGTTAGGTTGTTTTAAAATGTTCACAGAATAATCAGTTTTGTTTACTGCAAGACTGCTTTTGGTGAGATTGCATCATCATTTAATGTCACCACATGTGGCTGGTTTTCTTTTAAAACAACAGCTTTCTAGTACATTAGCTAATTCTAACAACTTGCATTGTGGGTATTGTAGGCACCAGATGCTGGCATGAAAAAAAGCTCTTTAAAATGTAAAAAAATTATGATGTCGCTGGTTCTGCTGCATTTTGTGTCTTTCATGAATCCAACATTGTTATTTATATTAGTGCAATGCTAAATTACACTAATTTAGCAGTGTAAAATTCATATCTTCTGGATTAGTGTAGCTTTAAACCACAGTACATCTTCTTTTGTTCATGAATATGCTTTAAAATAATATAATATTTCATTCTGTATGTGTTTGTGTCTTAGGTGGACTGCTGGGCACTGGGGGTGCTGCTGTATGCCCTTGTTTACAGCAGCATGCCATTCGATGGTGCCAGTCACACAAAACTCACAGAGCAGATCAGCCAAGGTCGCTATCGCAGATCCAACCCCCCCTCTGGTAAAGCTTCATAACTTTATTTTTTATATATATTTTTAAAGCTGTCAAATGGGATCTGGTTTGTCAGCGTAGTGGCCATAAATAACTGTTGACTCTGTCCCCTCCAGACGCCTGTGCTCTCATCGGCTGGTTGCTGACAGTGCGTGTGGATGAGAGAGCCACGATAGAGGACGTGGCTAACCACTGGTGGGTGAACTGGGGATATGAAGAGAGTGTGTGTGACTGCCCTTCATTTCCACACCAAGAGTGCCCCTCCCCGCTGCTGGCTCGCTACATCGACTGGCAGAATCAGGTTGCTGCTGCTAGCAGTTTGACGGTGGATGCAGACTGCCTGTCCTCAGACTCTTCCGGTCTTCCTCAACACGCTTCCAACCCCTTTTACTTCAGCTTACCTCTAAAGCACGAATGTGGGGGAGGTGCAAGGGTGCGCGGTGGAATATCGAGTCTTAGGAAGTCTCGCAAGGAGAATGCGATTCCCCAGACTGCACAGGGAGCTTGCAGTGACGTTTGTTTAGCAACTGCTTCTTCCGTGGTGATTTCCTCCAGTTCCACTTTTGAAAGAAAAAAGCCCAAAGGTATTCTGAAACACCAGAGAAGTTTAGATTCAGTCTTTCACACCCCTCCCAGGGATAACTCCCCCTCTCAGCTCTGTAACACTGCACCGCAGCCCTGTCGAACACACAGTCTTACTCATGCGTATGTTGACGTCCTATCAACCAGCCTTCTGTCTCCAACTACATTCAGTCAGCCGTCGTCCAAAATGCCCAAGAAAGGGATACTAAAGAACTTGTATGGTGGGGAGTCAGGTTATGGTTCCTCATCAGACAGAAGGGGCTCAGGTGTAGGAAGTACAGACAGTAATGCAGGTCAGTCCTGTTCCCATAAACAACAAACATGTCTCCCTGGAGTTGAAGACAGTCCCACAATGCGCACAGAAGCAGTAAGAAGACGTAAGGGTATTTTGAAACGTAATGGAAAGTTTTCTCGCAGCCTGGATCTTCCTGACAACCACCAGTCTTCTCCCTCTCCAACTCCTGCGATATTCCCAGAGGCTCTGCAGCATCTCCTCCAGACTGCAGGGGATGCTGAGGGCCGTCATAGCCGCCCCTCTAGTGTTGTGAGCGAGGATAGCCTCTTCTCCTCCGATTCCTTTGATCTGCTGGACCTTAGCTCCCAGTCACGTCGCAAGATTTTCTCAAGGGGGGTGCGGCACAGCTCAGAGGACGATTTGGAGCAGCTGAGAGGCGAGGCGGACAGGGTCGTTGGACAACGACAAACAAAAAAGGAAATGCTGTAATACGAAGCGTATTAGAAACTTTAGTGTGCTGAAAAACTGGGTTTAATTCCAGCTCTTCAGTTCAGTTTTATGTGATAATCAGTGCCTGCGATCTTGAAAAGACTTCATGAACTCTAGAAAGGTTGCATCTCAAGTACACAGACTCTCATGACCATTGCACTGCCGATGTAAAGCACCATGTCTCAGCATATTTGCAGCGATAAATTAAAGTGTAGCCTCTGACTGTTTAACTGTGTTCCTCCAAATGGGACCTGATTTCCAGCAGTTTGCAGAGACAGGACAGAATAGTCTGTTTAATGGACTCGGTCCGACCTCACCTGCACAACAGACTCTCCTTGTAGATTTTTGCAGATTGATGTTGACAACTCTCAAAATCTTTGTCTGAAGGCTGTCATCTGCTAACATGGTAATCCATGCATCTTTGATTTATCGACAATCATTGTATGAGTAAGTCAAAAGACTTAAAGATATTTCCATCCACCTGCATTTTTTGACCATTTTGGATATAAAATCTGAGGTGTAAGTTCAGAAAAAAAGAAGAAAAAATACTTTTAAAGTTCAAAAAAATATGTGTGTATTGATAACAGTGAAATGTGGCAAAGTGCAATTGAAACTAGCTTTTTATACACTAATCGTGCATGAAGCATGTCAGATAGAAGCATACAGTATGTATGTGAGAACTAATGGCGAGGAGGAGCATTCGTTAAATTAATATATGAAACAAATGTAAATATAATTTCATTTTTTCTGCATTCTTTGGCAGTGCTACTAATTTTGCTGGTGATCTTTTGTAATATATAATTTGCACACTGTTGTTCTGCAGTGGTTGTGATAACACCCGGCAATAAATTTAACATCATCAGCTATTTATACTCAAGTATCCACCTTCATGCAGTCACACATACATATGGAAACAGATATGCATAGAAGTTTGCTTTTAGCTTAATGATTTTCTGAAATGTGTTCAAATGTGTGCAGTGTTTGGATGGAAACTAGACTGTAGCAACTTCTGTTATGATGATAAATTCTGCTCAGTTGACCTTTGGGATACTTTGTGGCAGCACTTTATAAACCTTATATAAACATTGCGACATGGTTATAGCACACTAAAATGTAGCAGATATCAGGACATTTTAAGTGTTCAGTATTAACCTGTATAATCTGTCAGCAATTCTAATTTCTCATCTGAGAATAAATTGTGTTTTTATTCATTATCTGTTCATGCATCATCCTGCTTATGTTTATGCACTGTGGGCTTGCACAAGAGGAGCTATGGTTGTTAACAGACACTTCACATTGGTTAAACCCCATTTGTTAAATGTTTATATTCCGCTTATCTAAAATGCTAAGGAAAGTAATGCCGATGTCAATTTTTTTTTTCAAGTATATTTATGCCACACAGTGTTTCACTGTGCACAGTTTGCTTCTTTGCACCAACACACACAGTGTGAATAGCAGATAGATCACATTGCTTTTTACCGTGACACCACCTGTGCTGCTCTGGATGTTTAGGTGATGTATGCAGTAGATGTATACAATATTAAATCTGTGATTTTCATACTGTGAGAGGAAATACAAAGAATTCTCTTTAACTTTTTTTTTTTTTTTTATATATTTTTGTTTTTCTGGGTAAAATAAATTATTTGAATCTGAGCAGTTTGCAGTGTCTTTTCTGATGAAACGATAAATAAAATCAGCAGCATGTTGTAAGACGTATTGCATCTTGACCAACCATAGAGTTTGTACTCGAAAGCAGGGATGTTAGTTAGTTAGATTATTTGTCTGAGTGTGGAAGACAAAAAGATGTCTATTTAGTTACCTTGCTGTCTTCTTCTGTGTTTCTGTCTCCATAAACTCAGCTCTAGTTGGCCCACAGATTGTTTTCATAGTTTTTAATGGACTTGGTTATAAAAAGAAGTAGGCACAGTTTCTTTCTTTAAATGCTCTACAAAAAGGAAACATTAACTGTGGAAACAGCAGATTTGAAAAAGCAGGTTTCATTAAACAGTTATTCCAATGTTGTGTTTTGAAAGCCTGTCCAATGAGTAAACACTTCATAGATTGTTGTTTGGAGATTTTCATTTTAAGGATTACATTTTTCTGTATGGATTAAAAAAATGCCAACATCTCCAAAACAACAAAACTCACCAGAAGGCCTTGTTTAGATGTGAAGAAGCCCGGCATGGTCTTTGATAAACATTATTATTTTATACCATTCACTTGCCTGGTTGTAAATTTCTTTAAGTCTTCTCCCCATTTTAGGACACTTTATATAATTTGAATTGATTGATTGGAGAAAAAGTTGGCCAGCAGACGATGAAATCCAGAGCAAAGGTCAGATGGTGACGTTTCACAACACTCCTCATATCCCGTCAGTGTCATGGGGACTATTTTGTTACATAAGAACAACCATTTAACTGTGCTGAGCTAATGTTTATGCTGCATGTGTCACGGTTCTGGGTCCGTTGGACCCAGTATTTTGAGTTTATTGTGTTTTGATTTAAGTTTGCATCAGGGATTGTGTTCTTGTTCTCTTGTCGTGTTATGGTAATGTTTATGTCTATTATTAGAGTTCCATGTTCTGTTTATCTGGGTTTAAGATGTGGGTTTAGTTTCATATGTCATTTCAAGTCTGTCTCTGTCTAGTCTGTGTCTTAGTAAAGTGTGTTTTGTTTCCTGTTTTATTGTGAAGGTCTTCGTCTCATGTGAGTGTGTTCAGTTTTACCTTTGTCTCGTCTTGTTGATTATTCCCAGCTGTGTCCACCACCTGTGTGTAATTCCCCTGTGGTTCTCTGTGTATTTAAGTCATGTCTTCAGTCATTGTTGTTGCTGGTCCGTCTGTGTATTCCACCCTGCGTCATCTGTGTATCTACCATGTCACATCCGTGTGCTCTCCCTGCTGTCCATCGTCATTCTCCTCTGCTCGTTCTCATTCAGGTTTGTGCTTTGTAGTTTAGTTGTTTCCCAGTATAGTTTAGTTCCAGCTCCATTTGCCGTTTGTATTTACTTGTTACATGTTCAATAAACCACCTTTACACCTTCACAACTGCCTGCACTTGGATCCTCCTTCATTTCCTCCACACGGCTCACCTCACTCGCCGTGACAGCATGCACAGCGAGTAGATGAGTAAATGTGATACAGCCTTTATCTACACCCAAGACTTCTGGATTCTCAATCATTGCTTAAGATGGGTTGTCATCAAAACTACTGTACTGGGAGGTGATTTGAAGAAATATGTTTAAATCATCAAAACATCCATCTATCCACGTTCTTCTTCTTATCCAACTCAGGGTCAGTGGCACAGCTGGAGGCTCTAGCTTTGAAGTGCAAGTTAACCTAAAATGCTTGTATTAGGACTTTGGGAGAAAGCTTGGGTATCCAAAAAAAGCCCACAAGGGCATGGAGAGACAAACTGTAGGAGTGCTACAGAGGGAACCGTGCTAACCACTGCACTGCCATGATGCCCAAACATATAAATTCCTGACTATTTAATGACGCTTTAGACTCCAAATTGTGATCTATGTCCCAAGGCACGCTCATACAGTATAGGATGTTTTTAATAATGATTCTCTTACAGTTGAAGGTATTGCAACATTAGCCCCTTTAAGACAAAGCACCGTTATATTTAATGGATTTGTTTCAAGCAAATTATATTTATTTATTTATTATCTCATGTTTCTGTGTTATTTGTCTGGACATTCATTAATAGATACCACATGATGATTGTATGTTTGCCTGTGCAAAGATTTATGTTGCTCATATGATTTTTTTTGTAACGCAGTGACTTTATGAACAATAACGATAGATTATTAAACAGCCAAGTTTAGAATTAAAAACAGCTGTTTTAGCTTGTGGTGTTACACAACAGCACCTCATCTGGATACTTCAAATTTCTCCAAATTCACACATTTGTTTTAAATTAGGGTTAGGTTAGGTTAGGTTAGGGGTTATGGGAAAAAAGCCAGGAGTGGATGGGACAAAAGTGGAATAACTGAAAAAGTAAGAGGTGTAGAGGGCTGATGTTGGTGTCTAGGTGGGGGTTTTGGTGGGTGCCGGACGCTGTGGCGAAGAGGCCACGCCGATGGCTTCTTCGGTTCTGGAGATATGGCGAAT